AGAACCATATAAGGAACTTATAAGGAACTTCTCACAAGTTTTTTTTTACGGTTTTTATGTGTTCCCCCTACAGCGCTCCCCCTATGTTATATGGTCCTTATATGTTATATGGTCCTTATATGTTCTTATATATATTGTATGGTTCATATGTGTTTATTGTAATCAGAAATTTCTCATACAAATTAGATTTTTCAATAGGGGCTTCACGTAGACCTTTATAGGTTGTCTGCAGTCACCCCGTAGACACCAAATAGATTCTGTGTAGAACCCCTATAGAGTCCATAGGGACTCTACAGGGTGTTTTATTATAGATAGGGTATAGGATGACCGTATATCTTCACTATAATAGGACGTACCATTCATGGGTAAATGACTTCCAAAATTTAATTTATTACAATTACAATTACTTTGCTTCAAAAGTAGTTTAACTACAATTACAATTACTACTATGTGAAAAGTAAATAATTACAATTACAAATTACTTTTAAAAAGTAATGAAATTACTTTACAATTACTTATTTCTGAGAGCGGTCCGACTTGGGCCATATAACTTTAAACGAGTCGCATGGAATGCAACATATTTGTTCATTCCTTGCCCCAATGTTTGAAGAGGCTTAAGCATCGCTGCATAAATGCCACGTATTGTACTTTCTTTTCATGAATTTTGTTAAATTCTTGATAGAGCTTGACAGTTTGGGGCAATGAAGTACCACATTCTTATATTTTTAATAAATAATAATAAATTAGTACGTATGTTGGAAAGCGCCAGATCATTACAGAATAAATTGGGTTAGAAAAATCTGACAATTAGTCATATAGGAATATTCTGCAAGTGTTATTATAAAATGAAAATCCACACGCGCTATTACGACCACAATAACATACAAACATCATTGTATTGTAAATTATTTACGCTGAGTTGAAATTACAAATGCTCAGAAATATGAGTACCGAATCGAGGCTACCGAATCATTGGTGAGAATATTCACAGGTGCGAGGTCAATCTCCAAAATGCTTATGCAAATATTATCCGAAGTAATACCAAAAGGAAATAAACTTGAAAATAATACAAATATTCCCATATATACGACAACACTGGAAGAGGGACGTAAAAAACTGTAAAAAAAAGGAAGATAAATAAATTCACAGACAATTAACATTCCCAACCTCAGCTGAAAGCTGAAGCTCATTTTTTTTCTCAATATTTTGGCATGTCTACGCTATTGTTTTCTTCTTGCACCGCATACGGCGCTACACGGCGCCGTTGAGGTACGATACAAGGAGGATTGTCTCTAAGCCCGCATTGTAAGGAATAAAACAGCAATGTGATGCTATTTATATCGTGCGCGAGTGTGAGCGTGTGTCTGTGTGAGTGTTTCACAGAGAGATAGGCCGCTTGTGCGAGCTCTGAAGCTTTCAGAAAGATTCCGCCGGCGCCGCAAAGTTTTGCAAAAGTAATTGTAATTGTGCCTGACATTCTGCAATTACCGAAGCTAGAAAGTAATTAAATTACAATCACAATTCTTTTCAGCCAAAAGTAATTAATTAAAATTACAAATTACATAGCAAAGTGATTAAATTACAGTAATTCAATTACTGTAACTGAATTACTACCCAAGTATGCGGACGTACATAGAACGTCCGTTGGCCAATATTTTATAGGGCGGCCATAGGATGACTTCAGGAAGGCAACATTTGTCTGACTATAAACGCCTTATATTCTTTCTAAGGACGCTGCTCTATAGAACGTCCTCGGAGTGTCCATACCTATTTTTGTAAGGGATTTCACAATAGTCACGCATTATTTGCCGGAGCCTTTGTTGCAATCCTTCACATAGGTTTTCTCAGTCGGATTTTTCGTGACAAAATGACAAGTTGTTTTATATTTTACTAGCTTTATTTTCCTCTGGGTGTACTATACGTGCAGTATATTTTGTTGTCTTTTTCATGCAATAAACAATAGCAAGGACACAGTGTTGACGTGTATACTAATTTGGTGTACGTTCTCTTCTTTAATAGACCCTTCCCGATATCCAATCTGGCCACTTTGATCACTATCATCATCCGAGGAATGGCATAAGTGTCGTACTAATGACGGCCTTGTGGTTAATGTCGGGGTACAGTGTACCAGAATACGGGGTAGTGTTTGGACCGGCGCAATTTGACAATGCGAACTTGTGAGGCTGCGCGCGTGTACACAACAATCGCGGCGCTGCAGTCGACAGGGCAGCAGAAAGTCGGCGCAGTCCGCACGTGCCTCCGCACGTGCGCGTGCACGCGGTGCACGCGCACAGCCACCGCCGTACTAACCCTACTGCCACTGTTGAGTAAAGTACATCTAAGAAGTACTTGGAGTGAAGTACAAAGTAAGAGGTGATGTACTCCAAGTAAAGTAGGAAGTACACCGGGTGCGATGTACTTGAAGTATATATACTATAAATATAATGTACTTTCAAAGTAAAGAAAAAGTACGATTTAACACAATCTTCCATGATGCCCTTTCATTCCCCTATACAGTGATTTTTTAACTGACGTGCATAGCCCCAGAGGTAATCGGGGGTGCACCACTTTCTTTAGAAAATGGCGGTGAACATTGGATAAAGCCAAGTGGCCACAGAGTACTTATTTTCAGAAATGGCGTTAAATTCAGAAGTCTCTCCAACTTCTGAATTTGGCGCCGCCTGTAATTCAAACATTCTAGGAGACAGCACAACGTCAGCCCTGTAGCTTCCGCAACAATGACTGCAAAGGCGAGCTGGTGATAATTTATCATAATATGACACGAGAGACTGTGGTGCAGAAAAATTAAGAAACTTTCCAGTCAAATGAAAACACAACCGAGGAGAATATTTTAAGATCATTGGGGCATTCTGTTCTGACATCTTTTTCTCCGACTTAAACGCTTCTTTATTTCTCCATACCACAGTCTCAGAAGTTACATTATGATTAATTGTCGCCTCCTGATATTTTGGCCTCCTCACCCCCAGAACAAACGGAGCGATGTGTCGTCTGCTCACGTTTCTGTTGAGAGTAGAATCCCTCTCAGTATTTCTTCAGAACTGACAATGCATATTTTTGCGATACAAATTTAACAAGACCAAATTGGGAAAATGTACTTTGAAGTCGGGAGTTGTACTTCCCTCGGAAAGTACAAAAAAAATACTTTAAGTAAAGTACAAGTACATGATCAGAAAATGTACTGCAAGTAAAGTAAAAGTTATCTAAACCTACTTAATGTGATACTTTAAGTACAATGTACTTAAAGTACTTCCCAACAGTGCCTACTGTCGATGCGTCGGTGTGGCACCCTATCGCGATCTTCACCCCACACCTCACGCGAGCCGCTCCGGTCCCAACGCTACCCCGTATTCTAGTACACTGTAGTTTAGGGGATCGGTGGCCGAGTGGGCTAGCGCAAACCAGCCCGGAGCGCGTGGAGCGAAAGCTCGCGCGGCGGAACCCAGGGATCCTGTGTTCCATCCCCACCCCTGTGCGGTCGTGTATCACTACTGCGTGGTGCGCATTAAAGACCCCAGGCTAGCGGCTGTATTGCACTGGCTAAATTGCTCATCTACAGCTGGGAGACAAGTCGCCCGTTGAGGCAGACCAAGTTCTAGGCTGTATAAACATACGCACAACCCAGTTTGTGGTTACATGATGACGGAAAAAGCTGAAGATGCTCGGATGCGAATGATGCCAGGCCCATACATTCGAGACGGTACGATGCGACGCAGGAATTGAATACAAGAGCTGCGTAAGCGTTCATTTCTAACTCGGGTCCTGTCAATCTGTTGGCGACATAATCGGCTCTACAGACCCTTGATCTATAAAATTTCATCACGGCTGAAATGTGGGTCGGTGCTTCGTTCTTACCGTCTGTATATTTGTCAACATCGAAACTGAGAGATCCAGAAAGCATTTTAAGGTAAAAACACACATTCTCGACTGCTGTTGACTAGCGAAAGTAAAGGTGCCAGGCAAAATACTACAGACTGCAGGTCGATTACCGCCATTAGTACGGTAAAAGGTAAACTACTCTTTGAGCCGCCAGATGACACTGCATTTCTAAAAGGGCCCATTCAATCGCGTTAACCAAAGTAATCGTCGCTTTACTGTCAGGGGACTGCGAAGATTTCTACTATATTAAAAATACGACTATGAAGGTCATTTTTTTTTTACTTTTGATAATAGTTTTTACAATGTTTCAGTTTTGTGCAAGAAAAGTAGAAAGTACGTATAATCCCACCAGCGCCACAAACGCTAAATTTTGTCCGCCGACAAATTCGTTGCTTGGCGACCCAAACAATCTTCCGCTGCATACCGCTTGTACACCAACAAGGTTCGTTTGTGGTCAGACGATTATGCGCGAGCGTATACGCAAAAGTGCCGCGTTGATAAGGTGCATTTGACACGTCCGCGAGCAATGTCTGTTGTTTGTTCATATGATAAAACGACGTCCAAATTGTGGTCGTTTGCACTTCCTCATTCATTCATTCCGTTTCGTCGCCCACGGTTCCGCCCGTCCCTCTCCGAAGTACCTGAGTTTTCCGCACCACAAAAGACCAATCACTGATCGTTCGTTCACCGGTTCAACCAATAAGAAGGGGTTATCGGTATCGCGCTCCAATGGCCACGCGGGTTCAAGTTCAGAACAAAGACACAAAAAAAAAAAAAGGTCGGACAGACACTGCCATTATCATTGAACCGCGGTCACACAGCCAATACATAAAACAGTCTATACAAACACTGTCTGAGGACTTCCTTGTATCCCATTGGTCGCACAAATACAGTCCGCAGACATGTTCATGTAAACATATGCTTCGAACATGTTTCAGGTTTGTCTGCAGACTATCATCATGCCTGAGTAGTGCCACTGCGGTCTAGGGGGCGCGGTACCGCTGTCCCTCCTCACCGGCCGGTGCGTTGCGGCGCAGAGCACACGCAGGGTCTTCAGAGAGCGCGTGTCGCGCCAAGTGCACGCGCGGAGTGCACGCGCTCACCTGGTAGAGGCAGGCGGAGCGTTCCCTGCGCTGCGCGGCCTGCCGGTGCTGGAGCCCCGCGAGCGCCGAGCACAGCACGAGCGACAGCATGCCGGACAGCAGCAGCATGGTGACGACCAGGCTCCGCACAAGCACCGGCTCCCGTCGCATATCCAGAGCGACTGACACGAGCAGCTCGCAGAGCGCCTCGGACTTCTCCCCATCCGAGTCCTCCTCGCCGCCGCACCTCCGCCTCTTGTGGTTCCTCCCACAACCGCAGATGGCGCCACTGGGAAAGGAGTCCCCAGATATGCGAGGGAGCGCGCAACTGCGACTGGGGGCGGGAAGTAGCAGACGACGCGGCGGGCGTAGGTGCTGGCGTACTCCGGTTCATTTTACGATAAACTAAGGACGATCCGTTCCAGCCAATCCAGCGTTGTCAGCGTATCACGTGACCTCCTCTCGAATGTCACCTGACATTCACACGCATGGGATTGGATTAGATGCTTCGTAGCGTCCTTTACTGTCCACGCGCCGTTTCAGATCTAACAGCGCAGTGTCATCCCTAGGTTCGCCACTGCAAATATATCGTAGCTTACCCTTGTCCCGTGAAGGACTATAAATGACGCAGCGCTATTTGAATCGCACCCGATAGCGAGTGCGTCACGCGAAGATATATCAATCTTTTAATTAATCAATCAATCCATTTATTTTCTTTCCCCAAGAAATATGGTAGCTGGGGCAAAAAGCTGCCACACGTGCAGCTTGACAAGTCCCAAGACAGCAGCACACGTACAGGGCTTTATTCAAAAAGCAAATCTAAAATGAAAACAATCTTCAAACTCAGAAAAGCAGGAAAAAAAAAAAAAAACAGGATTCCAATGTAATACATAATATCAATTGACATCGTACACATACAACTCGAAGCCTGAACTTCACAACGTCGACAGTATCAATATTAAAGCTTCAAATGGTTAAGCTATGGCTAAAATCAGTTTCCACATTCAGCTTGTTCAAGAAAGATGGAAGTGTAATGGATGTCAGTCCATAGTTTGTCCGGGGGATGGGTACACTCCAATCTTCCCTTCACCGTGTGTTATATAGAAATATGTTTATTTTTCATGCTGTTTTATACGATAATAGAAGACAGTAGTAATGTAGGTCTGTTATTCTGACAACATTAAAACGGACAAAAAGAGAGGACACATTTGCAACCCCTCTTAGATCTTTTTTTTTTTTTTTTTTGCAAAGTTAGAAGTTTGTTTATATTTCGAATGGTAATGGTACCCCATACCAGGTAACAATATTGAAAATATGACTGCACCAGGCCGTGAAAAAATTATTAACTTAACAAATGAGGTGAAAACTGGACGGCATCGGGATAGAGTACCCACAGCTTTTCTGGCTTTTTTATGTGTGTATTCTATGTGCTCATTCCACGATAAATTATCTGAAAAGATTCGAGTGAAGGCAGATTGCCGCCACAGTTACGCCTATCTCTGTCCGCCGAAATAATATATTACTTTTTCTCAGTACAGTAGTAACGTACTGCTTGTTATACTTTTAAAACAGTTACGAATAATGTGGGAACGCGTCAAAACAGCACAGACAAAAAAGCACGTGCCAAAACAGCACGCGACAAAACAGCACGCGACAAAACAGCACAGCAACAAAACAGCACGCACGTAAATGCAGGCAGTTTTTTTTCCCCCGCTGTGGGACAGATTAATAGTAGTACGCGTTTAAATTAAGTACTTGCTGCTAACGTGTTCAGCAGACCATCCGTATTGTAGTTACATTTTATTATCGCCGTTATTGACTTCATATTATTACCTGCGCCGTTATATTATTTTTCTTCCGGGCAGGTCAAGCATAAAACTTCCCCACCGCGAGCCAATGAAGCCAGATTTATTGCCGTCGTTTGAATGACTAACTGATTGCGAATCTGTTAACGTTTTATATTAATACAAATGCGGCACCCTATTTACCCAAACGAAGATTGAATATCAATATCACAACTGACAAGTTTAGTGGAACCGCTAAAGCAACAGTTTATTATAATTAGGGCGGGACAATTGATCGATTAACGTACCGATTAATCAAGTAATGCTTTAATCGCGATTATTTTTTTACCGGTTAATCGGTACACTTTTGACGAACCAAAATAAAGTAAAAATTACACGCTTTCACCATGCAGACATGGACAAGAGCACCTGTATGAAGGGCAAACTTTAGGTCAAAGTTTAGCCTAAAGTAAACTCTAAGGGAAAGGTTTGTAGCTCCTCAAAAGTGCAGTAGGTTATACGTGCCCCAGGCACTTCAACGCCGAGCGAGTGTCCATTTAGCGAATCAGAGACTTTTGTGAACAATCAAAGAGGGTCACTCTTGCAGTAGAATTTCAACGAACCTCTTTGGTCATGTTGAAAAAACAGCGCGACTGGAACCAGGACGAAAAGACGAAGAGAACACAAGACAAGCGCCGACTAGCAACTGATTTGTTATTTGAACATAAGGGAGAAAGAAAAGAAAAGAAATCATGGAGTCGAAGTTTCGCGCGCTTGCTGGGCGCCTCGTAGTATAGACGCTTTGCAGCAGCTGTGCATGGACGCCGCCATAACTGACCTTCACTTTTTGTTTCCTCTTATTTCGTTTTTTCACTTCATCATTGGCATAGCAGGCCAGGTTATTGCCATATTAGACTCAACTGTGTCCTTTTCTAAAGCATCGGCCTTTGTGGAGGATCGTCAACTACCGTTTCAGTTGCTCGGCATCTCGGTAAGACAAAAGAAGGCTGTAATTTGGCGCGTGTGTAAAGCGTCTATATGCCCCCTTCTTCTTTTTCCATCTCAGGCGATCTCGTAAACCTGAATGTAGAAACTTATTTTCTTCTTTCCTTACCCACGTGCTCTTATCCTAAATCCAGAAAGTTCATCTCGCTGAGGGTCAGAGTCAACGAAGGTTGGCTCACGCACAAGCTGTTGTTTTTCGTGATGTTGTAGGCTTCAATCATCTCTCGACATGTTTGATCGTGGTGTTGATATATTACACTGGTGTTATCGAAAAAAGAGAAAGAAGAAAAGGAAAGAAGGAAAGAAGTTTCTACATTCAGGTTTACGAGATCGCCTGAGACGGAGAAAGAAGAAGGGGACATATTTCTACAAGGCGCCCAGCAAGCGCGCGAACAGTGGAGTCCATGTTTTCTTTTCTTTTCATTCTTCCTTATGTTCTAATATAACAAATCAGTTGTTAGTCTGCGCTTGTCTCGTGTTCTCTTCGCCTTTTTGTCCTTGTCCCAGTCACGCTGTCTTTTCAACATGAACTCTTACCAACTTGCCCAGTTATGTATCCGAACCTCTTTGCCTCGTGCAGCTGAAATATTAATCTGTGAGTGTGAGTGTCTTTGAACTGCTTTAACCGCACATAGAGTTCATTTATAATCGAAATTGTATACTGAGACGCTTATCATAATTTCAGCAAAGACAAGAACAAAAATGACTGTTTAAAAGTATTATACAGGAAAATGAATGAGACCGATTAATCCGATGAATTAATCGATTAAAAGGTGGCGGACAATCGGGTTATAACTTTTAATCCACGCCTGGCCCTATTATTAATGCGTTAGCATTAGTACCCACATGATAGGGAAAAGCTGACGACGTCCGTCTGTGGACAAAACAGTGGAAAGGGAAGAGCGCCGCCAAAAAAGGAGGAGAGTAGTGAAGGACAATGGCGAGAGGGAGGCAACGTCACAGGGCGGAAGCCAATGCACGAGCAAATGCTGGGACGAGTCTGACCTTGAAGGTGTGCTGAGCGCGTATGCCTCGGTTTGTGCTAGGGAGTGTGAACCCACTACTAGCGCTGGTCCAGGTAGGCGGCAGAAGAAGACGGTTTCTGAACGAAGGAGGCGGGATACACAACTTCTATTGTGTCCTCCCAAAAAGATACACAGCATACGTCACAAAACACCCTTCCAAAAATATTTCCAAAAGAAGCCTCCAGAGCCGGAACAAATATTAAAGGAAGATGCGTTGGTGGATCCTTAGAGAATGCCTTAGCACTAATAACCAAAATAGAAATGGGATTGAAAGTTACTAAACTACCCAGAAAAGTGGTTAAACTACAGTAACTTGAGTAAAGCAGCTGAACTAAGTACAAGTTTGGCTGGCAGGAGCTCTGCGTAAGGGTTTTCACCTATCTGCCTAGCCCCGCACACCACCACATGGGGGGCCGATGTGGTGGTGTGCGGGGCTAGGCAGATGTGCAAATAAAATTATTATTATCATTATTGTTTTTATTATTATTATTATTATTATTATTATTATTATTATTATTATTATTATTATTATTATTATTATAACAATCTTGTTTCCAGCTCACAAGTGGTTTGTGCCAAAACAGAATAGTATTGCATTTTAGTTCGCGTTATTTCGCGATTTCCATGTGTCTGCATAAAATTAAACACGGAACTATCATGCCCTCGACGTTGCACATCCGACATTCCTAACTCTCCCCAACTTCCTGAACGTCCGTGTGTGTCCTAACACCAGAAACTGGAATTTAAATATTAAAAACGTAACGTTGCGAATATGGAACGCATACGTTTATGCTAAGCTGACGTCAAGTGACTCAATTCGAAAAACATGCATATTTACAATATCGTTATCTCTTCTGGTGAAGGCAAATTAACCATCGCATTCGTTTTCGCGCACGAAACGGTGACTCCCAGAGAAAGTAAAAACGCAGGGATTGCCTTTATTTTAACAATTTAATAAAAATTGCAGGCGTACGTTGATGAAGCCTCAATCAGAACACTCGTAGCGTGACTCATGACTGCGCCGGCTACTACTCAACCTTGTTGTCACTCCACTTTCTGCAAGCAAATACTAAAATTGCCAGTAAACACGCAATAGCGACATCGATACTATTTTGTAGAACATCATTTTATTTAGTCATAACTGTGTCAATAGGCACTACATGTTGTATTAAACTTAAGAAAAAAAAACATTAACCTTTTTTCGTCAAAAAAACTAAATATCAATGTTAAGTCTGGTAACAGTGCATTTTTGCCGAATCATTGCCGAATCTTTAGAAAAGTTCGGCAAAAGTTGCACCGAATTTTCGATTCGGCAAAAGTTTGACCA